CATATAAAAATGAACTGAAGACTTTTTTAAAATTTGCTTGAAAATTGCAAAAATTAAATGCATTTAATATACATTTCGATGTATGATTGTTTTAATCTATTATATATTTTTTACGAATATAATATGTGAAAATATAATATGCCAAAATTTTTCATGAAAAACTATTAATACAAATATATCCCATAAAAAGTACATATCTCGAGAGCAAGTTAAAAAATGTTGATAAAAATTTGATAATGAAAGTGAACTTCATATACTACGTGTTTTACATGTATAAATTTTTCGTATATAAATAAATAATATAATACTTTTTTTTTCAATCTGCATGCATATTAGCAAGCTTACTCGCATTTGTCTTGTATATAAGTAGTATTTTTCTCTTATAAATATAATCCTGAGAATATAAATTGTTGACTTTACAATTCTCTTTGCAATGTCCAAAGTATTTCGGCCTCCCCCGTGCTACAAATAACTCGATATCCTAATTCTGCCAAGGCATTAATGATGGAAAAAGGTGGTCCTGTAATAAATTTTATTGCTCAAATTAAAAAAGAAATATCGTATTAATAAAATATATTAATGTTGAACTTCGATAAAATATTTGAATATAATATCTTAAAAAATATCATTGCTATTTTATTATGAATTTATTAATATATAATATTCTTATAATAAATTCAATATTTTATTGTTAAAAATTTAAAACTAATTTTAAATTTTAAATGATAAAAATATAATAAATATTACCAAGAAAAAACTTTAATCATAAATCTATTTTTATTATTAATTTCCTGAGATAAAATATATTATTTAAAAACTGCAATTGCATATTTCTTTGAGAGATATTTTTTATAATACTTTTACAAATTATATCAAACAATATTTCAAGAAATTGATTAATTAAACATAAAAAAATTATTCTGTGAAAAAAGTATAAAAAGTAGGTAATGGTAACCTTTAATCATAACACCGTTGACCACATCTGATCCAGAATTCGGAAAACGCTTGGAAAGAGCCAAAATTTCATCCGAATTTAAACCAAAGACAACACAATCATTCGCAAATGGAGATGCTTTTACACCAACATAATAGTAATTTTCATCATTTATTACATTGGCTAATTTTCCGATCATTGCATTTCCTGATTGCGACATTGTTCAGTTAAAAGGGGTTGCTAGACTTCGTTGTCTTTTACTGTTAAAAGAAAAATATTGCTTCTAAAATGCTGTTGGAAAAAATACAAAAATATTTTGTATCTTTTTTATTTTCTCTTATAAAGAAAAAATTCTATTAGTATTATGTTTCACATTAAATAGAGAAAAAATATTTCTTCTTAAATTGATAAAATGATATTATACACAATAATAATTAGTATATATAATTTCCTAAATAAAAATCGAATATTTCTATATTAACAAAAAAAAGAAAACATATAATTATATATATAAAAAAAGTAAAATTATATTTATATAATATAATTTTATAAATTTAAAATTTAATTTTTTTAATATAGCAGAGGAAAAGATAAGTTATTACATATATGTTAATTAAAATAATATATTCTAGTAATATAATTATAATAATATATATTTCTAATATATTACTTAAAAATTATACAAAATACATTATGACAATTTTATTTAAATTTAAAAAAAAAATTATATTTCATCCTAAATTGATAAATTGATAACAATATTTTCTTCATTATAATTTATATAATGAAAGAAATAAAAATATAATCATATGCATAAAAATATAATTATATATATAATTCAAGTATATCCATTCAATAGATAAAATTTGTTATAAAATTAAAATACAAATGAAATTGTTTTTATTTCTATTTCATTTAATTATCCTTCTTATTTTTCTTTAAATTATATCAAACAAGTTTCACAGAACCCAATAAACTTCAGATTAAACTATTAATTAAGTAATTTTTTTTAGTATCATTATTTTCAATTATACTATCTTGATTGATCTAATTCCATTTATTATTTTGTATCATTAAAAATGCATATTTTGTTATTACTGTTATATTTATAAGTAATATATAATATATATAATAATATATAATTTTTTATAATTCCAATTATCTAAATCTTTTAAATCTTTTATAAACTATATATAATATTCTGATCAATTGGTAATTTGTTTTAGTTAGTGTATTGTATTTATTTTATATTGTTATTTATTTTATTATTGTTATTTATTTTATATTGTTTAAATTATTAGATTTATGTTTCTTAATATATCTATATATAATATATAAAAAAAATTAATTTAATATTTTCTGAATACTTTGGACATTTTTCTTATATATTGTTCCATATTAATGGTACTT